CTGTGACACCGAGTGTAAAATGAGGATCTTTCAGTGCAATGATGTCATTTTGCATGCACTGAAAGTTTTCGTGTCACCCTCACTGCACCTCATCTTTGGGATGACTGTGTATTCACACTGTTAGAGTCCTGTTAATGCCATCATATTACAACAACTTTAATCTACATCTGCTTCTGCTCAGACTGTACCTTTTTAGGGACCAGGAACCAGTGGGGAATGTAGACAATTTAACTTGTAACAATTTTACTTGAGTGAAGTATGTGGAAAACCCCCTTTATTTGAAAGGAGTCAACAAAATATTTGCAAAAACACAAAACTAGTTACAGTATCATCATGCAAGGACACAAAGACAATTTTTAGGTATTTTGAGATTCAAAAAAACTTGGATGAGACATCTAGAATGTCAAGGCTTGGGAGGAGCAGATATAAGGGCGCATTTTACATTTGATTTTGAGGAAATCAACATACTTTGGGTAAACCATGTGGAGCGATTCTCACAGAATCATAAACACAAATTGAAAGACATCACCACTGTCGTGAAGGTAAATGCTACTAATTAGTGAACTAAATGACACATTCAGAATACTTTATTAATCCCTGAGGAAATTATGTGGTTACACATAATTAATGTTAATTAATGCAAATCAAATTAATTTGATTTACATTAAAATTAATGTAAATGTCAATGAAAAGGTGACAGGCATGTTTTCTGGAGTGCATCTTGCCAAAACACCTGGTGTGACAGACCTCATTCCAAAAGGTTGGACAGGATGTGAGATTGAACATTACACAACTTTTTATTTCTGTCTGTTCCCAGAGGCCATTGTTGAGTTGTGGGCAGTACACCATCGACAGCTGGAGTGCATCTAGGATCCACCATACATGGAAATTTTTAGGTGTAGGCTGAATTCCAGTGTTTTCTGACAGGATGTCAGGTAAAAGGTGTATTGTGTATATTTGTCTGTAACAAGTTAAGCATGTGATCGTGTTATCATTGTCATTAATTTGATGATTATGTTTAGGTCCCCACTGTGCAGCACAGCTTTATCGCTACAGTGTGAAGCTCTGACAGGAGCTCGGTGCTGTATTTGGTTGTCAGGGATGAAACACAGGGTTGTCTCTGCGAATGCTTCAACTCTAACTGTTTGGAAAAACTGTTGAATCTAAACTTTGATTGTGTCCTCTGTTTTATGTTACTTGAATTTTCTTTTAGATGTACCTAACTTTAATCATCAGCTGTAGTTTTTAAATGTACTTTAGAAATAAACTTGACATATAATTATGACATTTTTGGTTTATTTTGAGTTGGCGTGCTTGTGCTTTCCTTGTGCCATTGTTGATAATTTAGTTCAGCTGGGTCTCGTTCTACATGGCTGTCTGCACTTCCCTGAATTTCCCTCTGCGTATACAGTGGGGC